CTTCTTGAAGAACTCAATAAGGTTTGTGAGGCACGACCTACCCTTCACAAAACCGTGTTGACTATCCCTAATCAAATTATTCCTTTCTAGATGATTATAAATCCTATCTCTTATAATCCTTTCCAACACTTTACCCACAACCAAAGTAAGGCTCACTGGTCTATAATTACCAGGGTTGTCTCTACTCCCCTTCTTGAACAAGGGGACAACATTTGCTAGTCTCCAGTCTTCTGGCACTATTCCTGAAGACAATGACGACATAAAGATCAAAGCCAAAGGCTCTGCAATCTCCTCTCTAGCTTCCCAGAGAATCCTAGGATAAATCCCATCCGGCCCAGGGGACTTATCTATTTTCACACCTTCCAGAATTGCTAACACCTCCTCCTTATGAACCTCAATCCCGTCTAGTCTAATAGACTGTATCTCAGTATTCTCCTCGACTACATTGTCTTTTTCCCGTGTGAATACTGACGAAAAATATTCATTTAGCACCTCTCCTATCTCTTCGGACTCCACACACAACTTCCCACTACTGTCCTTGACCGGCCCCAATCTTACTCTAGTCATTCTTTTATTCCTGACATACCTATAGAAAGCTTTAGGGTTTTCCTTAATCCTACCTGCTAAAGACTTCTCATGTCCCCTCCTGGCTCTTCTTAGCTCTCTCTTTAGGTCCTTCCTGGCTAACTTGTAACTCTCAAGCGCCCTCACTGAGCCTTCACGCCTTATCTCTACATAAGCCTCCTTCTTCCTCTTGACAAGCAATTCAACTTCTTTAGTAAACCATGGTTCCCTCGCTCGACCACTTCCTCCCTGCCTGACAGGTACATACTTCTCAAGGACACGCAGTAGCTGTTCCTTGAACAAGCTCCACATTTCAATTGTGCCCAGCCCCTGCAGTTTCCTTCTCCATCCTATGCATCCTAAATCTTGCCTCATCGCCTCATAATTGCCTTTCCCCCAGCTATAACTCTTGCCCTGCGTTATATACCGATCCCTTTCCATCGCTAAAGTAAACGTAACCGAATTGTGGTCACTATCACCAAAGTGCTCACCTACCTCCAAATCGAACACCTGGCCTGGTTCATTACCCAGTACCAAATCCAATGTGGCCTCGCCTCTTGTTGGCCTATCTACATACTGTGTCAGGAAACCCTCCTGCACACATTGGACAAAAACTGACCCATCTGAAGTACTCGAACTATAGCATTTCCAGTCAATATTTGGAAAGTTAAAGTCCCCCATAACAACTACTCTGTTACTTTCGCTCCTATCCAGAATCATCTTTGCAATCTTTTCCTCTACATCTCTGGAACTTTTCGGAGGCCTATAGAAAACTCCCAACAGGGTGACCTCTCCTTTCCTGGTTCTAACCTCAGCCCATACTACCTCAGTAGACGAGTTGTCATCAAATGTTCTTTCTGCCACCGTAATACTGTCCTTGACTAACAATGCCACACCTCCCCCTCTTTTACCACCTTCCCTGATCTTACTGAAACACCTAAACCCCGGAACCTGCAACAACCATTCCTGTCCCTGCTCTATCCATGTCTCCGAAATGGCCACAACATCGAAGTCCCAGGTACCAATCCATGCTGCAAGTTCACCCACCTTATTCCGGATGCTCCTGGCATTGAAGTAGACACACTTCAAACCACCTTCCTGCCTGCCGGTACACTCCTGCGACCTTGAAACCTTATTTATGACCTCACTACTCTCAACCTCCTGTACAGTGGAGCTACAATTCAGGTTCCCACCCCCCTGCTGAATTAGTTGGATCGACTAGGCTTGTATCTGTGGAAGAATGGAAGAGTAAGTAGCAACTTAAGTGAAACAATTAAGGTTCTGAGGGATCTTGACAGAGTAGATATGGAGCAGATGTTTCCTTTCATGGCAGAATGTAATGTTGGGGTCTGTATTTTAAAATAAGTGGTAACCCTTTTAATATAGAGATGAGAAAATATTTTTTTCTCATGGGAGTTTCTGAGTCTTTGGAATTCTCTAACAGGAGAAGCAGTGAAAACAGAGTCTGACTGTTCTTCATCCAAAGTTGGATAGTTTATTGATGAACAAGTGGTGAAATGTTAGTGGTGGAAGACAGAATTGTGAAATAATCAGGTCAGTATTGATGTTATTGAATGGTAGAGCAGGCCCGAGGGGCTGAGAGGCTGACCTCTGATCCTAATTCATTTATTTGTAAATGGCAAGCTGGAACTCTCCTGGCCACTGCTGTCTTAATCTCAATAACTCATTGGTTGAGCATTAAGTGCACTTGAGCCATTCAGGAAATTAGGCATCACTACTAATAATGGGAGGAAAAGATGAATGAATAAATGAATTTGGTTTCTTTTGGCTTGGTCTTCGAACTATGATATTGTAGAAGTCTGACAGTCCTGCCAGTATTGTAATGCAATGGATCTTCTGCATTGATTTTTAGCTTCTTCATAGTACAGCAAAGGCTATTTCATCTGCGTGTGCAGAGCTACTTTGTCGCATAGTTGAGCAGCAGGATTATGCCATTAGCGAATTCTGTGTAAATGATTTAACCCTGTTGTATTTCAGCCGGCACCTATTTGAAAATTTTCTGCTTTCAGTTGTAATTTTATTTGAATTTTTTAGCAATTAAGTAATGAAAGGGATATAAGATTAAATGTATGAAAACTGGCCAGCAAGTAGGAAGGGTGAAGTTGAGAAGCATTTATATTTTCATTTAATGTTGTTCATGTGTTTGCAGTCTAATTAATATTACAATTAATGTGATACTTCTAACACTTGAGTAGTTTACTATCTTTATATCAGTGAGCTTAAAACATACAATTAGTCTCAGCGAAATGTGTTAACTTTGACAAAGGACTTTGACAACCCACTTTTGTAATTTATAAGCTGTTGCATTGAATAAATGAATGAATTGAATGACTGAATTAGCTTTATTGTCGCATATGATACCATCAGCAAATTTGATAATTTTCATTAATTTCTGACCCGAGGTTAATTATCTAAATGAGAAACTACAGTAGCATAAAGACAAGCTCTGAGACACCTCTTCTTGACTCCCTGTCTATGAGTTAACTCCTCTAAGGAGTAGTTATTATCTTCTCCAATCAATCAATCCTTATTGAATTTCTAGTTTTACCCCGAATTCAGAATGAACTGGGCACAATCTGAATGAGCATAACATTTGCAAATGAAATTCAATGTAAACAGACAAGTGCAAAGTATTCCTGATCAAATGGGAAAATAACCATCACACTTGTTTCATGAAATATGTTGAAAATTCTTAAAGATGTAGTGGAGAGAAACCTGGAAATCACAGTAAGCTCAACATTCATATCCCAATGGTGCAGTAGCAATCAACAAAGCAAGTAGAGCATCTGCTACATAGCCAAAGCAGTAGAAAACAAATCAAAGTAATAATTATAAAGTGTTTTTGCCAAACTACACCTTGGAATGTGTTTAGACACAAAACAAATATTGAAGCCTAGAAACAGTGTAAAGACATGAGAAAGACTGCTTTGGAATTAACTTAATCTGGAATGTTAGTTTAACTTAGTAATGGGATATGAAGTCTATACTAGTAAACAATAATCGAATGTTTTAAGGCAGACAGTAATTGGTACTTGCAATGGACTTTCGAAAAGACCTAGCAAAGGCAAAAACCCTGATTGCATGTGAGAAATAAATGAATCATTCACCTGTGGGACAGGTTACTTCCAGGTGGATCTCTGATTTGGTTCTTCATTGTTTCTTCATTTCTCATTACCATGTGATCGAGTTTAAGCTTCTTTAAGGAAGAGTCATATTAGACTCGAAAAGTCAATTGCGTGTGTCTCTTCACAGATGCTGCCAGACCTGCGCAGTTGCCGCAACACTTTATTTATTTTTAATTACAGCAGTTTAAGATGAATGAGATGGGGACCATACTGAATCTAGCAGCAAGACACTTATTATTAATATGTTAAATGGCCGATGATATCACATTACTGGCCAAGTACAGAGTCTGTGGGCTGTGCTAAACATTGTGAATCTTTCGTTATAATTATTGTAGTAGACCGAATTATAAGGCAAGTAACATTTCGTCCGTTGTTTTGGTCCTTGCATTGAGTTTACACAGAGGCTATGGTGTTATGGGGTTACTCAAACTGGTGTGTACCTGCCTTTTGACTATTTGAACTTGTTTGGCGTCATTAAATAAAAGCATGGGTTGATATCGCTTAAAATCAAGAAGACTCATAAGGCGAGTCTGTTATCTCGGTTAATCTTTAGGAATTCTTCAAGTATAAAATGAGGGTCTTGTCCCCTACTGTATGATTAAGGGAACTGGCCATTACTGCGGAACTGGTGCCTGAGAATTAGCCATTCACCAGCTCATATCCCAGATCGTGCTCAGCGTCCAAGCACTTGTGCACATCTGCCTCCCTCCAAACATGCCGCTCTATTAGAATTTATCGATTATTCCTGTTTTATTATTTTGCTGTGATACTACGAGCATTCTGACAAAAGGGCTTCCATTCAAGCTTTCAAAATCACTATAAACTCCTTCCGCTACGTTGTGAGAAAGCAAACTGTATTCGAGAGGTAGGTTTAGAAGGAAAATGTCAGAACACTATCCAGGTGACCTAGTATGTCCTACAAAGAACTTGTTCAAGCATATTTAGGTTAAAGGTAGAGAACATCGTCCTGATTCTTGATCGTAAACTTCAGGGCAGGCAACATCCCAGGTATGACGAGTCCAGTAAAACTTGCCCCATTTTAATGCTTAAAATGGATCAACGCAGACTCTAATCTTCAGAGGGCTCGTGAAGGTGCCGGGGTTTAGTATAATTCACCCTTTCGTATTTGGATTAATAGAGCACTACCTTAGAACCACATCGAAGCATGTAAGGTAAGAAAAATGATGAACATTAGTCATAAAGTGGCGCTAGGATGTGCGTTAGAATAGGGCTCACTGTTGAAAAGATAGATGTGGACATGTTTTTTCATATCTACCTTATCTTTACTAGGACCATACTTGAGCAGGATAAACTGCTGGAGTTTGCCAAACTGGGAAGTTACCTGGAGTATGATCTATTCGGCACGGAAATGCTAAATTATGTGTTTTGCCCTGTTGTGGATGTGCCTTGTGACATTGAAAGGATCAATCGGTAGGTATTACCTCGAACACCGTTCAAAGAAAGTCGATGTTTTAATAGAGATATACACACAGATCTTTACGTTGATCTCCATTGTTAAGCGTTCTCTACCAAGTAATTTGCCATTTCTTCCTTTATGTAATAACATCTGAATTCTGGCATTTACGGTGCCATCTCTTAACTGTTAATGACACATTGGAACAAGTATTTCACAGTGTCTTACTGCGAAATACTGATATCAGAAAACTTTCCATCGAGGAAAATACTGACTGCCTGCTGCAGAATATGAGATAACAAGGTGTAGAGCTGGATGAAGGGTCAGAAGAAGGGTCTAGGCCCGAAACGTCAGCCTTCCTGCTCCTCTGATGCTGCTTGGCCTGCTGTGTTCATCCAGCTCTACACCTTGTTATCTCAGATTCTCCAGCATCTGCAGTTCCTATTATCTCTGTTGCAGAATATGCATGATTTTCAACGAGAGATGGGGTGGTTCTCGTTGTTTGGTAAATCGGCTGCACTCTTGATGTGGAGAACAAAGTTAGTTCAACACTCACCGTATATCTGAGTGTAGAATAAGAAGGGGCACCGTGCTTCGAAGAAACATTTGTTTTTCCTTTACTACGAAGCTGTAATCTTGAGCGCTTAAACCAAAGGAATAATGATTACATTTTTATGGCAAGGTTAACTACATTTAACACCAGACAAATTGATCGGAATTCATGTACATGTCATTTGACATTCATTCATTGCCATTGCCTGTGATTTTTTTTATTTACAACATAGAATTTTTTCTTTAGTATATGCAACAAGCTTGGGAATTATTTTCTATATTCACTGCACTTCCCCGAGAATAAATGATGCCTATCTTTAACCAAAAGCGTGTTTTTCCCTTAAACCCATGGTCTTTTTGATAGTACCTTCGATTAATTTAACATCAATAACTAAGATCTGCTTAGGTTTTGCTGCAAGGACCCAGGGATTGAGGGATAGCAACTTTAGAAATCCAGCTCTTCGAGGTAATTCGAAGAGTCCCACTCCGCCTTGCCTCAGCTCATCTGCGACTGAAACATGATTCATGTCTTTGTTGCCGCTGGATTAAATTACAGTGCACCGCTGACGGGTGGTAAACGTAATTACATCCAAAACGCTGCTACCCAGATCATAATTCGCAACAATCTGCCATTTATCCATTAGCCCTGTGCTTGCCGACCGGCATTAACTTCAGGTTGAGCAATGCCTTGAGGTTAGATTTCTGATTCTTGTTTTCAAATCCCTCCCTCTCTTCCCTATTTTTACAACTTTCACTGGGCCATCTGAAATATCTCCGTGCCCTTCAATCCTGGCCACTTGTGCATCCTCCACTTTAATGGTCTCATTGTTGGTTGCTGATGCCTTCAGCTGCCAAGTGCTCAGCTCGGGAACCTCCTCCCTGGACTTCACTCACCCTTTCTCGTCCTTTTAGGATTCTTACTGCTCCACTACGTTCAGTTGCTTGCTCTAATTTATCCTTCCATGGCTCCTTGCCAGATGTTATTGGATAATGTTCAGACCATGGTAAAGTGCTGTGACAATGCAAATGTATGTTTATCATCGAGTCTTCCCGCTTCTTTTCTATTGATAACTTTAAGATTTAAGTATTAACACTATGTTATTAACAGGCTCTGCAAAAATGCAAGTTTTTTTTTTGTTTAAGTGGTTTGATTGCGAATTCCTGCGCTGTGTACATTTTGCTTAAGGAATGACACCATGCCTGACCAAAGAAGGTTTCACAAGGAACACCAGAAAAGGATTGCAGTTTGAATAAGGAAAATATGCCCTGACTTGAAACAGAAACAGAAATTACTGGAAAAATTCAAGAGCGTTTTGAAGGGTCTCTGGGCCGAAACCTTAAATCTGCTTCCTCTCCACTGCAAGACTTATTGAGTTTTTCCAGCATTTTCAGCTTTTGTTTCTGGTTTCGAACATCCTCAGTTCTTTCGTCCTGACTTTATGTCCTGACATGAGTTGACCAGTAAATGCAATTGTATTTTTCAGGATCCGTTTGCTCATTGATGAAGGTTATGGAGACAGTTTGCTGATGGCCCACGATATTCACACCAAGAACAGGTTAACTAAGTACGGAGGGCACGGCTATTCCCACATTCTCACCAACATCGTCCCGAAAATGAAGCAGAGAGACCTCCCCCAGTCTGCCATCGACAAGATTCTAGTGGAAAACCCGAAACGTTGGCTAACGTTCAAATAATCAAATAAACACCTATCCGATTCTTTTGAAATAATTTACAGTTGATTTTAAAGATCGTATTTTCCGATAGACTGAATTATAGTTGATTTAAGAGCAACGCTTTCCTCATAAAGTCATAATTCCCACCATAAAGAAAAAATATATATATTCTTAAACCGTGTTGAATCGGGGTAAAAACAATGAACTTGTAACATCATGTGTTGCGTTCTTGATTTGCCATGATCTCTTACTGTTTAGTTGCAGATAAGGAGACGTTGTGCAAAGTTAATGAGGTCGATCGTACAATTTGTTGCGGTATTTAGTGTAATAGGAACGGGCTTAAAACAATTAAACAGCCCACAGGGGGCTAATTTTAACTCGGGCGATAATTTCTTGATTTGTTGCTGGCCTTCTTCGGCGCGTACAATTAGTGCTCCGGATAAGGCGGACGCTAATCATGTATGCAACATAAATGTATACAATATTTCTGTAATAAACTACTTGCTTACACACGCAGTAATGCGATCCTTAAAAGTTATTTGTTTGCTGAAGACCACCATGGATTGTTCCCAGACCATGGTAAAGTGCTGTGACAATGCAAATGTATGTTTATCATCCAGTCTTCCCGCTTCTTTTCTATTGATAACTTAAGATTTAAATATTAACACTATGTTATTAACAGCGAGAAAAACAATCAAATCCTAATGAACAATTCATTTGTGATCAAAAAAGTGATTTTCTCAAATCTTTATTTTGAACGAGCGAAGTAATGGAAGCTTAAATCTGTTTTAACAACTTGTTTAAAGTTATTTGAGGAAAAAAATTGCTATTAACCTTTGACCCAAAGTGTAAGACAATATTTGCCTATACATTATCGGATTTGATATTCACATATTGACGTAATGCCATTTTTACAACAAAATCAAGGAGAAATTCAGTTTTGAAACAAAATACACCAGACGTTTCAAGGTGTTGTATTCTCTTTTAATGAACAGCAATGTTGTATAACAGTAATTTGGGCCCCGAACAATATCTGAATTGTCCTAATAAGCCGCGTGGAATTAAAATATAAATAGAAAAAGCTAATGTCCGCTTAATACCAGCCAAGTCTATTCTTAAACTAAATTGTTTTGGAGACAATTAAATGTAAAATGTTTCGGTTTACCTGAATTTAAAATAGGGGCCTGTAGCTAGAAGCACTTTGGAACGCTGGTAGGGCTGGCTCTATAGTTCCATAAAATCCCACCGCTTCAATCGTGTGTGGTGGAAGTACTCAGCAGACAAGTCGAATGTAGCCTGTTAAATCATCAGTATACCGCGAAGGAACCCGTTAGATTGACTGGTTTGAACCTTTCTTTATTACGGCTATTCAGGTCGGATCGTATGTACGAAATGTTAAGGGATAATCAAATCGAGGGCAGTCAGATCAACGTGAAAGAGCTAAGGTCACAGCGATTCATGATCAATATTGAATACTTTAATACTGATACGATCGAAAGATTTAGTTTAAAAATCTATGGCATCTTATTGCATATACATGTATATATCGAACTTGAAATTCATGCCACAGCAATCAGAAAGCTGCACAGCATCTATTGCACGCACGTTAGTCTTTATATTAGTCTTTCTGTTAAATGTACAACTCTAATAGTAGGCAAACACTGACTTTATCTTTTAAAAAAAAGCATACTCATTTAACAATGCAACCAGAAGAGTTGTTAGAAAATTGTTGCTCACCACAGCGATTAATGTGGATTTCCAAGCAGAGAAATGGCTAATCACGACAACCAAATGGATAAAGCGGTGAATTCAATATACCAAAGCATCAGAAAATGAGGAATACTTGAAAATCTTGCTCTTTTTTTCTATTCCCCCCGCACGATCTTGAGGTTTTATAGAGAGACTGGCCACTGTGCTCAGTATTGGACGGATTTCCTCTCACAAACATAACGCTAACATTGAGAAATTGCTTTGGGTGCACTAACCCAAACTGAACCAATTGACATGGGCATGGTCTTTTCGAGGTATGCAAGTACGTTTCAAATAGCTTTAAAAACAAAACAACGGCTGATTGTATCCAGAAGTACGGAGCACATCTGGCGACCGTCCATTTGGTTTTTTTGTTTGTTTAGGCCACGGGTATCCCACCCTCAGTCGCTCACGCAGGAGGTGATTTGATTTGGTTGCTTCTTTCTGTTGCTGCATTCTTCCCTCAATCTGCGTAGACTATAAATCCCGAGAAGGTGCTATACTTGTTGTTGTTGCCGCCGTGCGCCTTGCCACCATCCAGTTTAATATAGACCTCATCCCCTGCATCCAGGTGCAGCACCACGCTGTTGCTGGCGTAGTCGTAGTTCTGGTCGGCGTCCTGGGCGATGGCACTGGCTCTAACCTGCAGAAAGTTGGGGAAATTTAACAGAAAGTAGTGCAAGACCAACATGACAGCTATTGGCACCTGTGCTGTTTCCTTCTCTCCTCATTTTTCATGTTGGATCTAGTTTATCAATAAGTGCTTTGTTTAAGAGATAACAAGGTGTAGAGCTGGCTGAACACAGCAGGCCAAGCAGCATCAGAGGAGCAGGAAGGCTGACGTTTCGGGTCTAGACCCTTCGTTTTCATCGTACTATCTATGTTTTTAGATCAATATGCCTATATGCAGTCCACCTATCATTTGGTTTGTCTGATTGATCAGGTTCAAATTCCATTATTCTCTCGTTTAAATTTGAAACACTTCTTGCCATAAACCGATGAACATGCCCAAACCGACATTTACCTACAAACCTCCCTCAGAAACACTACGGAATGGCTTTTACAAATGCGTCAACCGCTTCGTTCTTAAAATTGGCATGGCAGGGAAAGGCAGCATCAAAACGATTCATTTCCTGAGCTAAAAATATTGCAACATTTAAAAGATGTTAAGGTGAGAGGGGAAAGATTTAAAAGGGACCTGAGGGGCAACTTTTTCACTCAGAGGGTGGTGCGTGTATGGAATGAACTGCCAGAGGAAGTGGTGGAGGGTGGTACAATTACAACATTTAAAAGGCAGCTGAATGGGTATATCAATAGGAAGGGTTTAAAGAGATATAGGCTAAACACTGGCAAATGGGACTAGATTAATTTAGGATATTTGGTCGGCATGGACGAGTTGGACTGAAGGATCTGTCTCCCTGCTGTGCAGCTCTATGATTCTATGACAATTGAGCAGATACATAGCTAGGACAGATTTGGAGAGATATGAGCCAAACGCAGACAAGTGGGACTGGTTCAGTTTGGGAAACCTGGTCAGCGTGGACGAGTTGGGCCGAAGAGCCTGTTTCCGTGCTGTACACCTCTCTGCCCCTTTCCATGGTCTCCTGTTTATAGGAGACAAGTTAGCTCCATTGTAAACTCATCAACGAATTTGAAACTCCCCGGAGGTGGGCTTGTCTATTCACACCTACCTTGTCAAGAGTTCAAAGACAGCGGTCCCAACTTCGGTTTGTGAAAGGGTGTTTAGTTTTGGTTGGAGAGAAAGCAGTTTGTAACGCTGGCTCACCTGGCCGTTTTTACACAGATCCGCCCACATGCTGGTACCGTCTCCCCCTCTCATCAGGACGTGGTAAGTGAAGAAGTAGATGCCTGGGATGGAGCAGGTGAACTTGCCGGTGCTCGGGTCGTAGTGGTTGCCCAGGTTGGTGACCACGTCGTCGAACTTGAGCATCTCGTAGCCCTCGTGGGGCCTCTTCAGGCCGGCGTAGAAAGCGATCTTGGGCACCGTGCTGTAGGTGGCGGCGCTGATAGCTCCGGCATTGGGCCCGGGAGGTCCCGGTAAACCCGGCAGCCCCGGTCTCCCCGGTTCCCCTTTACCTCCCGGCGGTCCCACCGAACCAGGCGGCCCGGGTTCCCCGGGTGGTCCCCGGGGACCGGCTTTCCCCGAGCGTCCGGGATCCCCTTTGGGTCCCTGGATGAAAGTGGGTAAGGGCATGAGGCTGTGGTCCCTCACGGTCTCGGCCGCCGCCGTGGTAGCTTTGGAGCCGTAAGGGTCACACACCATCCTGCAAGTCCCCAGCATCTCGTACCGGGCCGAGGTACCGGCCGAGTTGACCAGCACCGGGATCAGGATGACCAACAGCAACACCATCAGCACCGCCACCGCGGCGGCGATCAGCCGCTTCTTACGGACCCCCCGGGTGAGAGCTGGACTGTCGTCCTGTCTGCCTTTGGAAGAAATGGTGCTGGCTGAGTGGATACCTGGACCAGGAAGAAATCAAGAGAGCCGGGGGAAGAGAGAGAGCAGTCGCTGTAGCTTGGCTTCCAATGCAGACTCTGTCTGTGGGGTGTGTATGTGAGTATGTGTGTGCACCAGCTTGGTCTGGAGCTGCCGACTGAAACGCCTCTACACGCTGCCAGGAATTTAAGCGATAGCACGGAATTGAAAGCAGCCTCTCTCTGCTTCTCACGCCACTTTCCACCTTTCCCGATCCTACATTCACGTGTGAGCAAAAGAACAAATCATCTCAAAGCACACACACGCCCCCTCCTAAAAAAAATCAACAATAACAAAGAAAAACTCCGAGCCTTCCTCAGCCCCTCCTCACACACACACACACACAACAAACCAATCTACAGCGAGCCGGCTCCGGCAACCTGTTGGAGCTGACACCTTCACTGCTCCGAGTCAGTCACTGCAAGTTCCTTTTATGTGAGCAGAGTAGGAGCGGAGAGGGAAACACACCCCCCCCCCACAAAAAAAATCCACCACAGCACGGTATGTGTGTGTGTGTGAGCACACTGCCAGAGCCAGCGAGCGAAAGAGAGAGAACTGCCTGGACACTTAGAAAGCAACCAGCTGAAATGCAGCTACAGTCTCCCAACGACGAACACTCATTTGAAAGTCAAATAGCAAGAAAGAGAAGCATTCCTGTTATTCGTGGCAACGTCTGTGTGTGTGTGTGTGTGCGTACAATATATAAATATATATAAAAGGCCTGCCAAATCAGTGATGCATCTGAGTTAGCGTAACATTGTAGAGTGGATAACGTATACTGAACGGAACTATTTGAAATTCCCCAACGGCAGGACAAGGGTACTTCAACTACACTTTCTGCACATTTCTTTTTCCATGATCTGTTCAGGTCATACACCGTGACCGCGGAGGACAAAGATAAATCCACATGATACACCTGTCAGTTCGCCCAATTACAGGCGCTGGACTGAGCTGGAAAGCTGGCCGGTTCCGTTAGGTAGAAAGAACACATCCCCTCTATGTTTGCCAGGTCTCAAAATGAGAACTGAGAATAGTTGGGGCTGTTTGTTACTGCTATTGTCAGATTGTGGAAGTACATATTTATTTCCCGGAATTTCATGTTAATGCGCCATTTAAAATGTCTTCAGTCTTAATTAAGATCAACGACTTCATTGGAGACTGGCATGTTAGTCTGTTTCCCTATACTGAGTAAAGATGGGTTTGAGTCAGCGGAACGCAGTGGAAATATCCCAATGCTGGGTTCATATTGGTGCTGAGAAACACAGAATCTTGCTGCTTCGATGTCTACAGATTCACGTGTGTTGAGGCTGCTCCAATTCGCAAGTCAGAAGTTAAACTAAGGTGTAAGTATCACTTCCATTTATCTCTCTCCCTCTTATGATTAAAACATGAACATTGCACCTTACCCGTACAATTGCTGAAACCGGCACAAAGAACAAGTGGTTTTATTCATGTTTGACGAGCCGTCACAGCGACCACACTCAATAAGACCGCAGTTGCCGACCTTTCCTGAGCCGCCGGCTGATGGCAGTTTTGAATCTCTTGATGAAGTGGGTGCTACAAATGGCAGTTGACCGTGTGTTTGTGCGTGGGAGTGGGACTGTGGGGGGAGGGGTGAGGGAAGGCGGGAGTGATTCTGTTTTGTGTTTGTGTAGCCCCGCGTTTCTACGAACTAACTAAGAAACAAAAACAGAAATTCCTGGAGAAACTCGGCAGATCTGGCAACATCTGTGGAGAGAAAGGGTCCAGCGACCCTTCCCTAGAACTAAGTAAGAACTCGACTGGAAATATCCAGTTGTCTTTCTCTTAAGGAGACGCATACCCATTACCACAAAGCGCATGCCATTATGTTGCCTGCTTTCTCAATAAGAACTTACTTTCAAACAAAAAAAGGAAATAACATGAAAGCAGAGTATGGACTCACGACCTCTACGGATTCAACCTGCAGTGGGAGGTTCCAATCATATTTCTACAAACTCTCCTTTTACATATAGTTCATTCAATCTGATCGGAAATGTTCGCATACTCAAGTGTTAACTGTGAAAGTGATTCGCTTGCTGAGTCTATTATATTTAATGTTTTGTTTTCATTAATGTTCAGCTTTGATCATATTACCAAATCATTCCACCTAGCAGGCACGGGAATCCTCTGAATTCCAAGATTCAGACCCGGCCTCAGTTACCATTGGTCTCCGGTGATACTACCGGGCAGTGTTGGGAGGAGGCTCGGTTAAACCCAAACTGCACACGAGCGGCGATCAACAGAAACAGACACTTCCAGTAGGGGCACTTTTTCCTGCAACCGCAGGAAGTACTACACCTGCCCCTACACCTCCCCACTCACCCCCATCCCAGGCCCCAAGAAGACTTTCCAAATCAAGCAGATGTTCACCTGCACATCTGCTAATGTGGTATACTGCATCCGCTGTACCCGTTGTGGCCTCCTCTACATCGGGGAAACCAAGCGGAGGCTCGGGGTTAGTAGGAACTGCAGATGCTGGAGAATCCGAGACAACAAGGTGCAGGGCTGGATGAACACAGCAGGCCAAGCAGCATCATAGGAGCAGAGAGGCTGACGTTTCGGGCCTAGAGGTGTTCATCCAGCCCTGCACCTTGTTGTCTCTGAGGCTCGGGGACCGCTTTGCAGAACACCTACGCTCGGTTCGCAATAAACAACTGCACCTCCCAGTCGCGAACCACTTCAACTCCCCCTCCCATTCCTCAGACGACATGTCCATCCTGGGCCTCCTGCAGTGCCACAACGATGCCACCCGAAGGTTGCAGGAACAACAACTCATATTCCGCTTGGGAACCCTGCAGCTCAATGGTATCAATGTGGATTTCACAAGTTTCAAAATCTCCCCTCCCCCTACCGCATCCCAAAACCAGTCCAGCTTGTCCCCGCCTCCCTAACCTGTTCTTCCTCCCACCTATCCCCTCCTCCCACCTCAAGCCGCACCCCCATTTCCTACTTACTAACCTCATCCCGCCCCCTTGACCTGTCCGTCCTCCCTGGACTGACCTATCCCCTCCCTACCTCCCCACCTACACTCACCTTTACTGGCTCCATCCCCGCCTCTTTGACCTGTCTGTTTCATCTCCACCTATCTTCTCCTCTATCCATCTTCTATCCGCCTCCCCCTCTCTCCCTATTTATTTCAGAAACCCCTTCCCCTCCCCCATTTCTGATGAAGGGTCTAGGCCTGAAACGTCAGCCTTCCTGCTCCTATGATGCTGCTTGGCCTGCTGTGTTCATCCAGCTCTACACCTTGTTATCCCACTTCCAGTAGGGGTTTCTGGTTAGTGTTCAGAATGGGAAAGATCTTCACTTAGCCCCGCTCTTCACTTACTGAGCCATTAATTGCTGTCTGATAGTGCCAGTATAAGTCTTACTAAATATTTCAAACTTTTCTATAATTGCACGTACTGTGTCCAATGCACATGAATGGTAGATAAATGACCGAGATTTTTTGTTTGGATTTACACTGGACATATGGGTCGGAATTTTATCGATACGGCAGGGATTCCGTCAATAGGCCCGAAACCAGAGATAACTCCGTCCAATTGTGATACCCCAGTCACGCTTTTCGATTGTCCGCTCAGAAATTTGGTGCCTTCAAGTATTGGCGTCCGCCCGAGCAACTGTCAAGGAATGGCAGGAGAGGCGGCTCAGTAGCGCCACCGTGTATGATGGTCACTGCCGGGACTGCAGCTGGAAATGGGGCACAATGGAAACAGTGCCCATCCCAGTGAGGGACATGAAGGTGTCAGAGCCAAGGAAGAAGGTGATGGATGGGGTCGGAGAGGGCAGGAGATATTGCCGCTGGTGAAATGATGGGAAGGAGACAACAGGCAATGCACCCCTCCCCAGCCACATGCTGTGAGTCCGTGCTTTCCTCGAGCCCCGATTGCACATGCAATTTCTGTTTGTCTATGCTCCATTTTATGATTTGACATATGTGAATGGTATCGGCAGGCAATTTGACTCTAAATAGATATTGGCCAAATGTGTGCAGGTTCGGGTCTAATTCCGACTGTAACTTCCCGATTACTCGCAGACAGGGAATTCTAGCCCCGGATAAATTACTCCCGCCGTATACTCACAATACATCATGAAGAATTTCTTCTTCCCAAAGGCATCTCAGACAAAATTCAGAACCTAGATAAAGTTTAACAGAAAAAATCCCCGAAGACAGAAGTGACTTAACTCGGGTTACTGAAGCTTGCAAACAAGACTTGTTAGTCATTGACAATCATTACTCGAGGAGATACTGTTCAGGCTGATTGAAAGCAGATCAAGATAATGTACATATTCAAAAGACAAGTTGGTACAAAACGATTATAAATTCAATCGTTTTCCAACAATCCTCTGTAAAATCGTGCAATTGATTGTCGTTCGTAAATTAGACAATTACCTACACAATAGTTAACAACAGTCAGAGGTTCCGAAGGAGAAGATCTTGAATACAGATAAATAAATTGGCTGAAGGATAGAAAATTATCTTTTATGCAAACGATCAAAATCCATGCTGTACTCTTCCGTGCACCGACTGAAGGGTAAAGAGCTACTTGCACTTATTAGTTTTTTGCACCTCTGTGGAGGCAGGGGTTCAAGTATGGGAGGGGGGAAAGCAGGCAGTGGTGATGGGAAAAGTTACTCAGTGGATTGCTTCAGGGATTTATGTTAGGATTATTATTGTTTCTAAGTTATATAAATTAAGATATCACTTCAGAAATTTAATGCATACTGGTTACATTTTCAGTTGTGTTCAAACTAGGAGGTGCAATATACTGAAGGAGAATGCTCAGAAATAACAGCATACTTTGAGTAAAACATGTCAGCCTGCAAAATTATAGAAAATAAAATATCACAGTGAAAAAAATGCAAAATACTACACAAAGGCATGGAAAATATATTTACTTCATGAATGATGTTGAAATAGATAAACATGCAATTGAAAAACACCAAGACATCTTAGAAGATTGATGCTCGATATGTGGGATTAATGAAGAGCAGCAAAAAAAAAGCAAACAGAAAACTGAACTGTAAAGGAAATGTAATCAAGTACAAGTCAGAAAAAAGTCATGATCAAGCTGCAAAGTTCTCTGCTCAGAGTATACCTGAATATTATGTACAGTTCTAGTCTCCGAGACACAAGGGAATAATTGAAACATTTGAAGCCTCAAAACTGATCTCATTCTTAGAGATTTGACTTATAAGGAAAGTTTAAAGAAACTCCTGAAAACAAAATGAAATCTAAATACTGGAGTATATGTGCTACCAATCAGAATGATACTAACTAAAGCATTGATTGGTGAAGGTAGCAGCTAGCATATGTCCTTGA